AATCATTTGCTAATATTTCAGAAACGAAACTACTTTAACTTTTTTATTGAAAAACCGCAAAGACTGACTTGTATACTGGCAACATGATCGGCAAGGGGTAGGAGAGATGTGGGGCGATTTCCAGCAAATTTGCTCGCTCGAAGAGCGCCTCTTTGACCATTCGGTACTGCTCCAGATCCAAGCCCATAATTGCCGCTGAAATCGACAAAACTTATAGGTAATTAAAAAACTTGTCAGTATTCTATCGAGCTGAGAATCTCGACACTTTTACCTTGAAGATAACGCACTCCGCCGTGGATTAGCTTGGTGCTTCTCGAACTCGTTCCCGATGAAAAATCGTTCTGAAAGAAACATTTGATTACAATATTTCTGGCATCGAAATAAAAGTGCAAAAATTACCAATTCCACTAGCGCCGTTTTGAGGCCTGTAAATATTTGAAAGGTCAGAGTTGAAAGATTAAAAGTAACCTCGAGTTTGGGAGTCTAAAGCCACTCCGGCTCCTGTGGCACCACCTCCAATTACCAAAATGTCAAAGGTTTGTTCCCGAAGTCCTTGCATAAGGTCCTGAAATGTTATACATTAATAAAGATTATAATATAACGCGACGGACCAAAATTTTTTAGTTCAAATGAAATTTTTGAATTTCAAATATCTGGGAGTTCAAAAATTCGAAGAATTTGTTAGTGGCCGAGAGAATTCGAGAGTCTAGACTTGTCTGTCGATGGAAATCGGGGATCTGAGTTTTATATGAATTTTGAAAAATAATAGAAGATTTCTAGAGCTTTGAACTTCAGGGAGTTCGCAACCGTTCAGGATTACAATATATTTTAGGAAGAAACGCAATCGGAAAACGTGGGTAGTCCCAAACACTTTTTTGTAGTTTCATTTTAGTCAGTTTCATATCGGTTTCTGGCCACACTACGATAAAGTTAAAGTACTTTTTAGAAAAGCAGGCCAGAAAGTACATATTAGAAATGGTATCGTCACCTAGGAAATACAGCTTTCTTGAATGTTCTAGAATATTTGACTTTCCTTATTTTAACCCTCCTAGAACACTGTGGTTACTTACATAATTGTTCACATTTGTTACAGCATTCTCGGGTATTCTAGAGCAACTTTTAGGGTTCTAGAATGTCCTAGAGCATTCTATAAATAATTCTAGTATAATAGTAATTTATATCTAATGGTAGCACTAAATGCAGGGGCCAAATTTTACTTCAAAAAATTTTTTACCTTTCTCGTCGGCAGAGCTCCGGAAGGCCGCTTGTTTAGTTCCTTCTGAAGGTCAGAATTGGCGTACGCGGTGCGGAAATATTGTTGCTAAAAGTAACGAAAGATACAAAACTGTTTAAGAAAGTCCAAAACCGTTACCATTCCCTGTTGGAAGCGTTTCTCGTTTGACGAATCCAAATAATAAATAGTAGCGATTGAAGACGCCAATCCGCCGGCCACCAGGATTTTGGTCTTGCTCATTTTGCGCAAATTCGAGAATATTTTCTGTCTGGTCGACGTCATTCTTGAGACTCTTGCCCAAAATGTCTAAATTTGAAACATTAACTTTTGAATTCCATCAAAATTTTATTTGACGCGGAATAAAAAAGATGTAACGTAGCAGATTTTGATCTGAGTTTCTTCCCCAGGATCATTGTCTAGGAGGAGGTTTTGTCCGGTGTGTAGTCGGGGTTCACACCATGACAATACTCATATGTTTACGCACATTAAACAAATAATACAGCGCTCTAAATAGTTCTCCGGATTCAACGGCTCTATATTCCAACTCCTGACTCACAGGTTTCAAGTATGTGAGCTGTCTTAATCGATAGATCATCAAAAAGAAGTCATAATCATATCATGATCACTTTACGACCCTCAGGGCATGCCTGATTTTCTATAGATTTATTCCAAAATCCAGGTTCACTCAATTTTTTCATTTTTTGCGGAGTTACGAAAATTTCCTAAAACCCCGTAAATTCCAAAAATACAAAATTATCGCTCCCTGGATTCAAATTTTCCTTCCCACCAAACCGAAGCTTGATTTTCCAGGTTCACCTACAACGTTAACTGCTTGTATCTCGGCTAGTGCAACAATAGCCGAAAATGATCACAATGTGGCTATGCTTATCTATCGATTAAAAAGGTCATATCCTGACAGCTCCCCAGAATCCGGCTCATTCTCCCTGTTAGAACGTAAAATCGGAGTGTTTAAAAAATATATGTAATGACATAGAATTACAGTTTTTTATCTTTTCAGACTGATAAAAATGGGCGGCCAGACTTTGAACAATAAAATTGGAGAGCAAAACGCTGGGCCGACAAGAAAGGAACAATTTCCCATGCTAACAAAAGAGAGTTGGGTCAACGACGATTGATTGTCTGCGGCAGATTTTCAGACAACTTTCGAAATTCAATTGGAATTAAAGTCAAGTCTCTACTTCACTTGGGCCACACACGAAGCAAAGTCAAAAATGTGGATCAATATACAACAAACGGAAACATTAAATGTTGCGGAATTATGTCCAAACATTTCCTCTAACAACCCTCCTAGTGATCCAAAAGTGTGGGAGTTGAGTGATTATTAGAAGGAAAGCTATACGACCTAAAAGGGCAATAAAACTGCAACAATCAATGGTAAGATCAAAAGCCACGACTTTGATTTACATTTAAAAATTATGTTTGTTACATAAATTCGACGTAATAAAATAGTCGACCAGAAATCAGCGAGATTAATAACTGTTCTTTAAAAGATCATTTCTGGTTGTTTACACACCAAAGAAAAGTGGAACCCTTCCTTATTTGTCGGTTCACTGACAAAACAAGATAATCATAGCCCGGGGCGGAACGCCAAAGAGCGCCAAAAACCGAAGACGAGAATTTTGATTAGTGTTAAATCGATGGATGAACAATGAATATTGCAACAAAAAAAAGTTGCAAAGGAAATCAAAGCAAAAATCAAAATTTGATTTTGTAAACTTTTTCAGACAAAATTTTGAAAAATGTCCAAATATGGAAAATACCTCAAGGGAATATCTGAATGGGCCAAAATCTAGATTAAAGATTTGGTCACTGCCACTTTCGAACTTTGCAAATGACCTGTGAAAAAATTTACGATTCATACAAAAGAAAAAAGAAACATAAACGCCAAACAAAAAATTTGGCGAAAAATACGTCAATCGCTTTTTGTTTCGCCTGCAGTTTTTGATCGATTTACTGGAGAGAAAAACTGCGATCTATTTCCGCAAAACGGAAATTTTATCTAAAGTGCGAAAAAACATTAGCAATGAAAACGAAAGCAAGTTCATATTGCAAGTATGTAAATCTGAACTTATAAGCATTCCCTTTCAGAAAATGATGAGCCGTGGAAGTTTGTTACCATACCTACAAAAATCTACAAGGCAAGCCCCGCTATGAAGCCTCATTTCAAGCAGGATTCTATAAATTCAAATGAAAATTTTGATCCACATTTTTAGTTTTTTATAAAAAGAATGATTCTTCATTACTAGTAAGTAAATCTAAAAATCAAAACTATCCCGTTAAAAACTGCGAACTCCAAATTTCAAAATCCCATTAAAGGCAAAAGTTTCAGTCAACTTTCGTCGGCAGTTGCCTAACAAGTGAAAAATGTGCACAGACATTTGATTTGAGGCCAAACCATAGAAAAGTGAAAGGAACAAAAGAAGAGCGAGAACAGGACGAGGTGCAGCAGGTGGACTATTTTTCGGCTAGTATTTCGTCGGTTGGAAGGCGATCGACCGCCTTTTTGCTGTCTATCGCACCCCCGCCCGAAGTATCTATAAAGGTCTTTTGCTCTTGCAGCGATCACACAAACGGCACGTGAAAAAGAACGGAGCAGGAAGAGAAGGCGAGGATCTAACGGTGATACAGCAGCGAGCAGACAGCCCCAAAATTTGAGGGCAGAGAAGCAAAAGGCACGCCATTCACAGTGAAATCATGAGTTTGAAGGCCGAATATAATGCACTTCGCTTGGACTTTGCACTATGAAAGGTAAAAAATGACTGGTCAATAAGGGTCGACTAAAAGAAAATATGTACTCTTGAAAAAACACTTGGGCGAATTTTATGAAAAAGGTCTTAGAATTCGATGACAGTCTGAAAATAGTCTTCCTTAGCCTGCAAGCATCGGGTATTAGGTAAATGAGGACTCTGTGTTGGCTTATCCCGTTTCAAAGGCTATTCCCATTTCAGATAAAATCGATACATAACGCCAAAGGCACACAGCAGCGGTGCCAAAGGCAATGGCCATGTGAGGCATATGCCTTTGCCATATGTCAGCCCGACGGCTAAGCATAATAAGCAGAGCTGAGCCAAAAAAAGGGAGAGCCCCGCATAGTCACGTATTGCCTTTAAAAGGCTGTGGTGTGGAATTACTCACATTGCATGTGAGAATGGCTTTTGAAATGAGACCAAAAGTCACGGATTTTCTAGGAATATATCCAAAGCTCGTTTATCTCTGTTTTACCACAGGGCTCATGGTGCCGGATAAAGGAACATGCATGGAATTTGGGATGGTACCATCGATACAACACATGGCTTTCTAGAATGTTTCGGATTCATTTTTTAAAACTCATCTAAAAAATTTAACCCTAAAGATCAAGCATTTTCGGTGAGAGACAGGAAAAACGACCCGGGGATGTTTTTCCCGCAGAATTCAAACAATAATCGTGGATTTAAACCCTTTAGGGTTCAATTTTTGTAAGACCCTAAGCATAACATAAGGCTCTGCGACCCTAATCAGTTTGTATTCTAAGAATTTGCACAAGACCAATACCATAAAACGTTCCCCGGCGTGGTATCCCCATCTTGCACCTCGCTCTAGTTTTTCCCATTGTGGGACATAAACCTTGGAGCAAATGTATTCTACTTTCATTCCCATTCCTGTCAAAAATGCTTTCAAGAATAAAAATTAATCAAATATCGGAGAAATCACAAATAAAAGTAGCTCAATATGAGTCAAGAAGTTATATCTCACCAGTAAAAATATTTGCCACGACCGTGTTTCGCTCACGGGACCTCATGATCTTCAGTCATGCGCTCTCCTAACTGAGCTATCATGGCACATAGGAACAAGGAATGGGAACCGGTCAACTCCCGGCTGAAAGGAAAATAATATTAAATTAAAGGAAAATAAAATAAAATTCAAATTTATCATTTATATCTTTTTCTCAATTGTTAAATTTATCCAATTTTTGAATTTAAAAATACCCGTTTCCAATTTCAAATGTTCAAAAATTTCAAAGTTCACATAATTCTCTTTCGCAATTTGTAAGCAGTGGTTTGACATTCCTAAATTAACTTTCCCACATTTCATAATTTGGCCAATCATAGCCCCTCTTCGTCTGCCCAAAAAAGTGATCAGGATAGCCTCGAAAGGCCGTCGGACTTATGACGAAATTTTGGACTGGACTCCCTCTCCTTTAAACTTTCCTTCTCTAACCTCTCCAAGTTGAGATTTCGGATGATCAAGGGTCACCGGGCAGTACCTGCTCTGACCAAATTATCCTCACAATTAGCATATGCTGACGGCTCCTAAAATCAACTTTCCGCTCAAAAAGTTCGACAAAATCAGTTTTCCATTTTCACTTGGTGAATTTTCTGAGACTCTGAGCCCCAGCTCTAGGTCTGCCATTTCGGTTTGAATTTTGAGCCTCAGCTCTTGACTTTCGGTGTGATTTGGTCTGGGTTTCCCAACCAAGTTACTTCCCCTATCAAAATCCCAAGATTTTGGTTATATCTAACCCCTATTTTGGTAAATATCACAGTTACTGTTAATTGTTCTGATTTTTTCCCATTTGCTCAATCTCGGTTTGCATTTCCAATACAACATTTACTAATTTATTGAATTCGTGTCTATCTAACTTTTATTGTTTGTTTTTGACTGATATAAAAGTCGCAACTGTTGGAAAAGAGTCCGTACAAAAAATAGCATAACAATAGAAACAGGTAGCGCACTCAGTTAGTGTTCTCTGAGCTTTCCCCTTCACACACAGGAAATCAGCCTATTAATTTTGGGTTATCGCTCCCTGCAAAAAGCAATTGTGGGCAAATTTTGAAAATAACTCTAAAAACTTACAACCTGCCCGCAACATAGGCAAACACTTGAAAACTCAATACTGAAATTGGAAAAGATAACTTAAACACGGACAAAACTGCTTGTATCTTGCACTGGAAATTATCTTTCGATTGATTCTTACCTAAAGATCAGAAATGATAGAAGTGCGAATGAAATATTTAATTTTAACTTTTACACTAAAGCCTGTAAAATAGAGCTGGCTAAAATAAAATAAAAAGTTAACCAAATATAGTCAAAAAAGTAATCACAAATCGATGAAATCACAAACAAAATAGTTCAATCTGCATCAAGAAGTTCTAGCTACTCAGTAAAATATTTGCCACGACCGGTTTATAATTAATTGTCACGTCATGCTTCACTCAAGGGACCGTTAGATCTTCCAGGGCAGATACCCCATATCAGTACCCCACTTTTAGGCAAACAACCTTAGGCTTGCAGCTGAGAGATTAGGTTGTCCAAAGAAAGTTATCAAGTGCAGGATCTTCCGAACACCCTGGGGCAAAAATAGCAAACAGTTTCAGTCATTTCTCAGTTTTTAATGAATGCGCTCATTGTATTTTTAAAGTACATTCATACTGCTTGTTTCGTACACTGGAAATTGCTGACATGTGAGCATTGCAATGTCACTAAGAGTTTGATTACGTAAGAGTTGCGTAGAAAAATTATATAAGGCCAATGCAATGAAAAGGTAAAATATTTTCTATAATTTTACTTACTGTAACAAGAATACAACTATATAACAATTTCTTCGCATTGATTACAAAATAACAATAATAATAATATACAAAGTCCTAAGTTTTTGCAGCGGCAGCTTCTTCGGCGGCCGCTTCTCTTTGCTTTTTCTTGAGTTGTCTACTCGCTTTCCTCTTTGCCTGCTGATGCGCATTCATTTCCTTCACGATATATTGCTCGTGTTCATCCCGATTTTCCACAATGATATGTAAAGTTACGCAGATTCCTGAAAACAACATATTCTTGTTTGAAAATTATAGTGGGACACAGAAGGTACACATATCGTATCATTGGGGAGAGCTAAGAACGAGCGAGAATGCACTATTAAGCGTTTCAAAAAATTTTCATCATGTTTGATTCAACGAAAATTTCAAATATCAGTGAAATCTGCGTAAAATTTAAACCTGTATTTTTAAATATATAAATTTAGAGAAAGGTAAAGAATTTTTTCTCATTCGAATTTTCTGACACCTCTCATAATCCCCCAATTTTTTGGAGCTCAAACTTAGGCGATTTGGAAATTGAATATAACAAAATTGAATACAATGTTGCAACAAACCTGGATATCTCTCCAATTTGTATTCTTTAATTGGGATGTTTCCGTTCTCTAATATCGAAAATAACGGCGAATTTTCCTTGGCAAGTTGCACGACTTCATACAAACCCATGCGTCCCAGTTCGTTTCTCGGGAACGGATGTCTCATGGTTGTGCCACAGATCTACAAAATTAAGAATAAATTCTTGAATCGATTTCATAATTTTCTGAACTTTTGCCTGTATAAAAAGCTAAGTAATAATCATTTACATATCAAGTTGGAGAGTCATTTTTGAACTTTGACCACAAATTCTGATCATTACAGATTATTTTTCTCAAATGATCCTATGTTTATAGAATGCTTTAGTTTGTTCGAGTGTCTGGTAATAATGGGAAAATTTGAGGAACATCAAGGATTATTAAAAAATTTCGAAATCAAACGATGTCAGCCTCTCAAACAAAAATTTCCCGAAGTGAATCCCATCCAAAATGCTTTTGAAATATTCCCTAAAGCCACATTCGCTTTAGCTTACCGCTAACACCAGTTCAATATTGGCGTTTTGATCCACGGTTGGCCAGGATTGACGAGTAACGGGCTCGTGTGATTTCCACAGGTGTGGTTGAATCTTTGGGACCGTCGAAAGAGCAGACCAAAATTCTGCGGCAGCATTCGGCGCGAACACCTAAGAACTTGTAAATATTCGGGATGCATTTTTTTTTTACATTTCGGTATATAATTAATATATTAACATACATCCTTCAACTTATATAAGGATTTTCGAGATTTTTTAATTTCATAGAAATTTTCTCATAGAAATTTCTCGGAAAAATGTTATAGGATTTTCCATTATTGTCATCATCTATCAAAGTCGCAAATTCGATTGATTTTCTACCCAAAAAACAGAAATATTTGTCAAGGACAGATTTCAGGTTGTATGGCGTCAAAAAAGATCGAAAACACACTTGTTTTAAATATTGAATCCTAACACGCAAAAATTATTTATTGGAACTGAAATGGCCCTATCTAAAACATGCAAGCAGCTAAACGTATATTTTCTAACATTTTGCAAATAAAAATCCATAATTTTTGCGAATAGAAAACCACAACTCTAGTTTTTATATTTTAAACTCTTCGGTGCTTTGCGCTTATCGGGGGGGGGGGGGAATTTTCATACATTTTTATATAGCAAAAAATCAATAGGGGGGACCCTATTGATTTTAATTTATTTTTTGACATACATTGTGAAAAAAATCAATAGGGTACCCCCTATGAATTTTTTTTAAAAATTTCCAAAAAAAATTTTTTTCTCAAAAAATCCATAGGGGGGGACCCTATTGATTGAAAAAATATTTTTTGCTCTCAATTTGTGAAAAAATCAATAGGGTACCCCCTATTGAATTTTCGGATGAAAAATATTTTTTTCGCAAAATACCATAGGGGGGGACCCTATGGCATGAAAAATTATTTTTCTGAAAAATTTGTCAAAAAAATCAATAGGGTCCCCCCTATTGATTTTTTGCTATATAAAAATGTATGAAAATTGAAAATTCCCCCCCCCCCGATAAGCGCAAAGCACCAACTCTTCATAATAATTCGATAAATTTTCAACAGAATTTTAATTACCTGAAGCATTATGACTAAAGCGTGGATACATCTTTCGAACTCCGCACTCCCACCGACCATGTTTATTTGTGCTTGGTCAATTTTCTGAAAATCTTTGACTAAATGAAGTGTAGAAATTGAATTTAGAAATAACGGGGTTAAATACCCTAAGGCTATTGGTCATGATTTGTAACCTTTCTACGGCACTATTGTGAGCGTGAGTACATTCAATGTCGGCCGAGGTCTGAAAAAAGATAGTAGGGTACTTTCGGCTTATCGGGGGGGGGGAATGGTTATCGGGGGGGGGAAATTTTCATACATTTTTATATAGCAAAAAATCCATAGGGGGGACCCTATTGAGTGAAAAAATATTTTTTGATGACAATTTGTGAAAAAATCAATAGGGTGCCCCCTATTAATTTTTTGGCAAAAATTTTTTTAAATATTTTTTTTCGCAAAATACCATGGGGGGACCCTATTGTATGAAAAATTATTTTTCTGAAAAATTTGTCAAAAAATCAATAGGGTCCCCCCTATTGATTTTTTGCTATATAAAAATGTATGAAAATTTCCCCCCCCCCCGATAAGCCGAAAGTACCGATAGTAGTTGATTAAAGAAATAAAATTGCAAATCGAAACAAAATATAAAAATATCAGAACAATTAAATTTTCCTAACAAAACTTCATAGAGTATATCTCGAAAATTGATCGTGCTACTAGACATACGTCTGGTTTCTTAACCATGGCGGTATCTGTCTTTTCTTTTGTGGAGTAGTATACCGTTTATTTTCTAAGGTAGGCAATCATCGAAATTAAATTAATTCTAAAACTACTTTAAAATTTTCGTGCACAAAAAACGTATTGGAATTCCCTGTGACAATTCTCCCCTGATAAGCTATTAGTAACGTCAACTTTTACAAATATTGAGAAATTTACGTACATCTCGCGCGCCGACATTGTAGACCGTTTTGAACATATCTTCTATCTCCGGTGGTGCTGGTTTGCAGGTAGATCCAGCGCTCAATCGTTGTTTCACGTAAGTGTTCACGAGCCACGTGAGCCGATCGAGAAAGCGGATCAAACCACGCAGGTCTAAAAATGGTGCATCGTTTTCG